GAGGAAGGACTTGGGGTTCCAAGCGACTCCTCGCTCTGTGGGGTCCGGGGTTGACAGCCGAGTCGGTCGTAATGAGGCCACTCGGTCGTAACCACAGCCACTGCACTATTTTACTCTTCCCACCCAAGTCAAGGATGTACCAGCAGCGCTGATGGACAACTTTCCAAGGACACAGACCGAAAGTTCCCAGCGGAAATTCATCCTCCTCAGCCACAGTGGCAAATTCAAGCAGGTGCTGCCGAGCCTTTGCTGCTGCCTCCACAAACGCCTTGTGGCTGCGATACTGACACGGAGTGAAGTAATGCATTACAGCGGCGTCCAGGTGGGCCCACATCCTCTCTTCCAGCTTGGGCAAAATGCCCATGAAGATGTGGGATGAGAACACCAGCATGAAGTGCAGATAGTCCTCCATCCGCCATGAGTCCCTGCCAAAGCACACCTCTTAGTCCCTTGGCTGTGTGGGAGGCGAACAAGCCACCAGGGACTTACGGAGGGAAAGTCCAAAGCAAAACCTAAAACAACACTCCCGCCTCCTCATAACCCTCTCCTCCCCCCCTACAACCCCCCCTCCCCCGTCCCCCCTCCCCTCCCCTGCCCCTCCCCGTCCCTTCGTTTCTTTTGCTTGTTATTATGCCAGGCACGTTACTACACTCCCTGCTACCGCTACCCGCCGTCGCAACTTCCACCATCACCGTCCCCGCCGTCGCCCCTGCCGCTTTCAACCCTGCCACCGCTGCCAACCCCGCCGTCACCAGCCCTGCAGTCACCCGAGCCACCCGCCGTCGTCCCTTCAACCATCACCGTCACCGCCTTCGCCACAGCCGCCGTCGCCGTATGCATCCCCGCCGTTGCCCGAGCTGCCGTCGCCATTCCCGCCGTCACCCTAAACACCGTCACCGCTGCCGCCATCACCTCGGCCACCTTCGCCATCCCCGCCATCACCCAAACCACCGTCGCCCCTGCCGCCATCACAACTGCCACCGTCTCCTCCGCCACAGTCGCCAACCCCACCGTCACCAGAGCCACCGTCACGAACCCCGCCGTCGTCCCATCCACCGTCGCAATCACCGCCGTCGCCCCTGACACCGTCACCAACCCTGCCGTCACCCTAGCCACCCGACGTTGCTCCTTCTACCATCACCATCCCCGGCGCCGGCCCTGCCGCCGTCGCCGTATGCATCCCCGCCGTTGCCCGAGCTGCCGTCGCCATCCCAGCCATCACCCAAAGCACCGTCGCCCCTGACGCCATCAACCCTGCCACCTTCGCCATCCCCGGCGTCACCCCTGCCACCTTCGCCATCCCCGCCGTC